TGGCCATGAACTCAAGGCCATCCTCCTGTCACCTCCTAGCTCAGCCTCCTGAGTGCTGTGATTACAGGCATGCACCACCACATCTTTATGAATTTTAAAATCAGTTTGTCAATTTCTGCAAAAGTCAGCTGGAATTCTGATAAGGATTGCATTGAATCTATAGATCTTTGTGCCCGTATTCAACATTAAAACATTAAGTCTTTAGATCCATGAACATTGGCTATTTTATTGCACTCATCTTTCTCCATTTTTGTCACTTCGCTATAAACAATTGAGTCAGTTTTTCTGTTTCTAGGACAAAATACTTGACACACAAGTTAAAGGAGGAAAGATTTATTCGTACATTTTAGGTATACAATACATTTACATAAACTTTCTTTTGGTATCAGGAATTGAACTCGGGACCTTGTGCTTTCAACGCCGGTGCTAGAACCACTGAGCTAAATCCCCAGCAAAGAGGAAAGATTTACAGTGAACCCTTGACTTAGGAACTTGATAGGTTCCCAAGGGCTGGTTGTAACTAAATCAATATAATCTGGATGTTTACCTGGGTACAGGCTATAGAAAACAAGAGGCAGATGAATCTTCCATTAATCTAATTAACCCAGATTCTTCATGGCAGGCTGGTTTTAACTTGAGGATCCACTGTATTTTGGCTTATAGTTTCAGAGGTTTCAGTTCATAGTTAAGGCATAGTAGAGACAAAAGGCAGAAACATCATAGTAGAGGAAAGCTGTTCAACCCATAGCCAGGAAGCAGAGAGGAGGGGAAGAGGCTGACAGGAAGGAGCCAAGGACCAGATACAGTATATTTCCAAGATCATATCCCCATGACTCACCCAGACACACTCCAAGTGTGCTTTATTAATGTTCTAGGCTTCTCTCAAACCAACCGAGTTGACAGTCAAGCATGGTGGAGCCCACCTATAATTCCTGTCCTCTGCAGGCTGAGGCAGGAGGATTGCTGCAAGTTCGAGGCCAGCTGGGCTATATAGTGAGTTTAAGGACTGTCTGCACTACATAGCAAGACCCAGTGTCAACCCTTCCCTCCAAAAAAACCCAAAATCTTTAAAGCAGAGGAGGAGTCTTGCATAGTGGTACATGCCTGTAATTCCAGAACTTGGGAGACTGAGGCAGGAGGATTGCAATTTCAACCCCATCCCGAGCAATTTATTGACTTCATAAGACCCTGTTTCAAAATAAAAAAAACTGGGTGTGGTGTCCCAGCACTTGGGAGGCTGAGGCAGGAGGATTGCCATGAATTCATTGTCAATATCAGAGAGCGATCAATCCTCCAACTGCCTAGAAAGGGGGATAGTGAAGGCTAAAGAGAAAAAAGATAATAGAGACTTGCATAATTTCAAAGTATATGGAGGGCCAGGAGGTCACTGCCTCAGAGTGGACAAAGACGAAGACTCTCTGAGCTGGCCATTATTTATTGCGTACACACAATAATTGGAGGGAGCGTCAGGTGACTTAGGGGGCATTGGTAATCCTATGTCAATTCGGATCTTATGCAGATGAAGATCCTAGGTTATGAGGTTCTTATGCTGAGGAGGACTATAAGGAGAGCATTCTCACAATAAATAGTAGGTGGAATGAATTAAGTTGATAAGGAATTTGTCCTTCCCCAAGTGAAACCTTTCTCTTACTACTGGGTTCTCAAGGAAGCAGGATGTCTTGAGCTGATGCAATCCTGCCGTGATTGTCACAGCATCATGGGACCATTGACATTTTGGCTGTGACAGAAGACAAAAACAGAATTATGTCTTGACATGCCATGGCTGGCCTGTAGGCAGGAAAACCAGGCCTAATCATAATTCAATTGTGAAATGATTTTTCCCCAAATTTGCTCCTGACACAGCAGCCTGGGTTACATAGTGAGTTCAAGGATAGCCAGAACTACATAGCGAGACCCTGTCTTAAATAAACAAACAAACATTAAAAGGGCTGAGGACATAGCTCAGTGCAAAGGCCCTGGTTTCAATCATCATTTATAAGTATATATATAGCAGTCTCATGATCCATTACCTTCCAAAAGCCCTACCTCTGAACACATGAGACTTTGGGGAGATATTTTTTAAAAGTGTTTGTTAGAGGGCCAGGGATTTAGCTCAGTGGCACCTCACATGCCTCGAAAGCACAAAGTCCTGAGTTCGATCCCCAGTACTGGGGGGAAAACAAAGTGTTCATTAGAAATGAACACTAGCTGGACATGGTGGTGCACTCCTGTAAACCCAGCACTCTGGGAGGCTGAAGCAGGAGGACAGTGAGTTCAAGTCCCCAAAAATAAAAATAAATAAATAAAATTTTTTAAAAAGTGTGCAACTGGCCTTGTAACAAGTGTCTCAAAATTTTTTTTAAAAAAAAGGGCTGGGGATTTAGCTCAGTGGTTCTGGTGCCTGCCTCGCAAGCACAAGGACCCGAGTTTGATCCCCGGTACC